GGGTTGCCTTTTATGAAAGCCTGGGCAAGTTCACTGACAGTTCAAACTGCAGACACATGACCACTAATTCCACAGTATTTAGCACGCCTGCTGACATAGTGTGTGGTGTGCGGGGGAGCAGCCGAGTGTTTAACTTTACTCCAGAGAAACATAGGAAAATGCTTTACTGCCAAATAAGCAGCTCGGCAGTCCTTTAACAATAGGCCACCTTGAGCCTTTGTGACATGCCAAGACCACTGAACGGCCCACCGGCCTGAGACCACAGCCTGAGACCACAGCCTGCATGACCAAAGAATCAATGAGGGGGGGGGGGGGCAGAAGAGAGAGGGTGCATTACACTACAACCTCAGATGCTTGGGTGGGGGGCTGAAAAACAGCTGAACATATGGAAAAGGGAGCCAGAGAGCTTGGCCTTTCAATTTCTTCACAACCTAGAGACTCATAATGATTGTTAAATCTAATTGTTTCCTACACTGTGAAAAACAATAATGAGGGATACAATTTGGCACCATCAACTCCACTGCAGCAGTCGCAAAATTAATTTTACAAGCAGAACAATGACAGATTTGCCAAGTTAATAAGCATAAGCCATCAAGCCCATGCCAGAATTTCACTGGCCAAGTATTTTGAGGACCTAGACACTTCAAAAATGTAGTTACGCAAAGCAAAATGTTCCTTTTTCTGAGTATTAACTGTCAATATTTAATCAGTGGAAATCCTTCCCTCATTAATACAGATCAAGCCTCAGCAGACTGGCAGCATTAGCAGCTCGGCCTCAAAAATGGTAAGGGAATACTTTTGTTAACAGGTGCCTCATTCTCCCGTAAACATATCTCACCGCTTGATCCAGCAAAAGCCCCCACTTTCCTTCAACGTCTTTCCCATCATATCACAACAACAAATAACTGGCAATAATTCAAAGGCTCCCTGAGTCAACCGGGCTTTGGCATCTGTTCAACTTCAGACAGGCGCTGAGTCGTGACCGGCAAGCTGAGCGGGAGAGCAGAGAGCCAATCGAAGGGAAGGCCGAGCCCATCAGAAAACAGCAGCTCTGAGGCGCTCATGCCATGTAATCTTGGCTAAAACAAACTGTCCATGTTGCCATAAGTAACTGATGCACAGCTTGGGTTTCCCCACTGACATCCAGTACAACCGGGGGAAAGTTCAGGGGTCTTTTGGTTTCATGAGAAATTGTGTTTCAGGTCAACAGCATGATAGGTATTTTCCTTTCAGTATAAATTGCTATTAGCATATTGTACTCTGTGCAAGGAAGTTGTAACTGTAGGTTGGGATAAGTCAATACAAAGTGACTTTTCAAGATACTTTTTTGGCTTATTCTTTGTAAAAGTCATTGCTAAAATAGAATATAATATCACTGTGCCACAGTAAGAGGCTTCCAAAGAAACAAATCCAAAGTCTTTTTATTCATTTGGCAAAAAAGATTAAGGGTGTTGTTGTTCTTGTTCATCTTAGCAGTCTACAAAGCAGCTGGGTTTGTCCTACATCAACCAAAAATGTCAAACATTCACCAGCTATAGCTTCTCATGTAAGGATTTGCTGCTTTCTATCACTGTAAAGGAAATACTTGGGGTTTGGTCCTGCTGGTTAGAAATCCTGACTTATTATAAAGGTTACTGACAGTCTGCAACATCAGCTGTCAAAACAATCCCATCAACTCTGACAAGAACAGCTATTCTATAGGTACCTGTCAAAAGGTTGACTCCAGGAGGCCAGCTGTTTTTGGCTGTCCAGAAGTGTTTTAATGATCGCATCTACCACATTTTGAAAAAAAAAAATAAACTTCTGTAGACTGATCTGAGCTATCTATTTGTGTTTGTTGACAAAGTATTATCTGGTGTTCAGATTCTGTCTCGTTCCATCTGTGTCTGTCGGAGAGCTAATGCCAACTAGCCAGCTGTCTGCAGGTATTAGGCAAATGTCTTGTCAAGAAACCCAAACAGCAGGAGATGAATAAGAATGTAAATGTTGTTTTCTCTTCTGAAACTGATAAAAAAACGTGATGTCTCTGGTTGATCGTCCATAGCTGGGACTCGGAGACTTTCTGTGGTTATCCATACAGAAAATCAATGTAATCATTTTCAAAATAGAAGAGTGTAACTTAATTGCTATCTTTCTCTGTGAGTTTATTATCTGACAGATTTGGTGAAAATCTTCATTTACAAAGTGAAATATTTGCTTTGTCCAATACAGAATGGTGGATTAAAGGTTGACCACTTGATTTGCTAGAACAACATTGTATTCATACATTAAACGGAAGGTCATAAATCCACCGGTCATAATGTAAAACAGAACAATGTGAAAGCCTTTTACCACTTCAATGGGAACCAGCCATTTCCACATAAAGATAATACAGTTGATCTTAACCTATCAAAACATTCACACACATACAGCACAACAGGCTAAAGGTGTATTTAATGTGAGGATGTAGTTCAGAGAATGAAAACAGAGTTCATCAAGTCATCAGCTTAATGTACAAACTAATACAATTGTAAGTATTTTTCACTATTTCTACTTTATAATCCAATAATTGAGAAAATAACCCAGCAGTTTAGATTGATATTTAAATATTGTTCATTGCAGGCCTCCTGATGTGCATAGTATTTTGCAGACTGTCCCCCAGGTAATCCCTTCATTAGCTTGGGCAATATAACCTATGATACCCAAACCTTGTTGCAATCAGTTTTGAAAGCATTGATTCATTTACAAACAAGAGAGTACACACATTATGCTGCTCCTCCTCTTTTGAGCCCCCAGAGGAACAGTATGAACTCATGTTTGGCTGACAGAGAGGAGTCTCTGAGCAGGGGGGAGCCGAGGGGGGGACACACACTGTACATCATGGAGACAGCCGACACACAGACAGACCTCATACCTGGCAGTGCGGTGAGTCAGCAGCCCCACCGCTCTGTCTGCATGCCAAGATATCCAGCTGATTCTCAACACTGTCTGCACGCAACACAACTGGAATTACTTCACTGCTGACTGAAGTGTATTAAGAACCCATGGATGCTGAATGACAACAAACAAAAGGAAAATACCACAATCACTTTAAGCAATGCCCGATGTCCAAGCTCTCAGGGGGAGAAGGTTTCAGGTTTTCTTGGCCTCCGGGGGGACATCAACAAACCTGACAGATTTTCTCTGCAGGAAGAAAAGGTCCTCTGATCCTCTGGCTCTGTGGGAGCATGTACAGTGGAAAATAGTCCCCATTGCTAATCCATGGCAGGCTAATTACAGCTTTGATCCCCTAGGCGTGTGCATCGCCATAGGTGGGAGGGAGGAGACACATTCTGAGGCTCAATACACTTACGGTAACAACTGTTTTGATTAAGAGCTGTCCAAAAAAACGCTTACTTCTCCAGCAGACATGTGGGCACTTTAGACAATATTGTGCATTATTCGTCAACGTCACTTAAAGAGTTATTCTCAGCTTCTAGTGAATCCCCTTTCAAACCCCTAGGCAACTGTAAGACACGTAGTAAAAAGCACATGACTCCGTAACTACGGTGTACAGCTCGATGAGTGATTAAACACACTCCACAATATGAGTGAATAATTTACAGTTTGTTACAGTGAGCAACAGACGGAACTCATCTCCTGGAGATGGAGACACAGATTAAGTGGGTAAATGGAGTTTCTGTCTTAAATAGGTCACAGCTCTGATGATAGCTTAGTCCCAAAACACACATGGTGGCAAAGATAGAGCAAAGAGGGAGGAGAGAGGATGATGATGATAATGATGATGATGAATGAGGGGGAGCTGCAGATGCCATGGAATGTACTGGATCTTCAGTTCTGCATCCTTGTCCATGATGATGCAATTGTTTGAGGGTTTTTACTTTTGATGACCCATATCACTCCTAAGCTGTTAATTTAATGTAAAAACAGCAGTGTGCCAACAGTGAAAGATCAACAAGGAAAGCACTTGGCAGAAATAAAAGTGGCTTAGTGGAGCAGAGAGGAATGAATAAGTGATGTTGATGTTGTGAGGAGTGTTGGTTGCTGCTAACTTTTAGCTTTAGTGGGCTGATACAAAACATAATTCTGTACAAGCAGAGTTTACACACCCTGTCTTCAGACAAGTGCTGTATGTATACGTAGTTGCCCAGGTTAAATGTTTCTGGGAGGGAAGTTTAAGCACCATCAAACTCCTGTTCTGATGCTCCTGAACTGCCCCTTCAATTCAATAGGCATGTGTTGGTCATTTTAATCACACGGGGCTGATGCAAACCCACATACATAATGATGGAAAAATGACTTGCATACCAACTCCTTTTAACACAACTATTAACCGTTCAATTACTCCATATGAAATGCACTAGAAGAAAGTAACAGTTGCTTTTATCAAAGAAAAAGTTGTCCATACAACTTCAAGGGTGAAAATGTAAGACTTCCGTCTCTAATTTCAAAATAAAACTATTTTTGAGTAAACAACCTGCTTCTAGTTTGAGTTAAACTTCAAGAGCAACCGTGGAGATGTGTGTATACATTTTCAGAACGAAAAAGGGCAGTGGTATTGTACCTGTTGTTTTGACATTGTAGCTAGCTAATGTGTTCTGGTTGTTTCTACAGAGCCCGTTAGCTCTGAAGTAAACGGCTACCTAGCTAGCGTCCGTTACAACACTGCCACGACAGCCTGAACCTGCACGTCAACGCTAGCTACCTTAGCACGGATGGCATGCCGCTAGCGTGCCTGCTCGAGTCAGCAGCTGGTGGACATCCCCATCCTCATTTTCACCAGTCGTGACCAGGCCGAAACAGCAGACTGCTGGCTCCAATACTAAAGTATCCGCTCCGTGGTTCCTAGCTAAACACAGGTGACACTTGTCGGAACCGTGCAGCCCGCTAGCGCTGCAGTCCCCTTGGTTTACCGTACATCCACACCAACAGAGCTGATGCTGTTCCAAGTCACCAGCAGCCCTGCGACTACCTGAAAAATACTGAACCTTTAACCAGATATCAGGCAAATAAACACTCACCCGTACTGAAGCTGCTAATGGCAATGTCACGCGGTGACTGTATCGGGGAAGTAGGGTTGGTGTTTTCCCAGAGCGGTCACCCAGGTCGAGTATCTTTCCTCCAAATGTTCCCTCTCTCAGCGAGCTACACCTCCGTATGATCTCTCCACACTGCAATGGTGCTGAAGCACCGCGCCACTCGATTGGCCAGAATGAGCGGAACTTGGTAAGCAGAAAGCTCAGCGACCTGCAGGGGGAGCAGACGTGATGCATTCAAAGCTGTCGGAAAACCCAAGACATAGTTTGAGCGCACTTTTGCATTAACCTACTGAAGACCGACAAACCGATTTTACTGCATATTTTCCGCCTGTGTGAATTGGCTTCAGTACAATATATCTCTAATGCAGATTAATGAAACAAACGAACCTGCCAAAAATATAGGCCACATTCAAAATAAGACAATATTGAACAACTGATGTGAAGAAAACAAAGGTCCTAGTAATCTAATTTACATAATATTGTACATTATCAATCACTCATGTTCCCCTCTCCTGCAACTAATTAACATAATTTGATTACAAAGGCCATTGTGATTGGTTAAGACTAAAACGGTCTAAACACATTGACTTTAACTGGATTTTGGTCGACTGCTTGTGCCTTTAAATTTCTGTTGTAGGCTACTATCAAAGCGCTGCTGCCTTTTTTGCTTTCACTTTCACCTCGGATCTCTTAATCTTTTGTGCAGTTTTATAAAGAATTAGCACAAGTATTATTGGCAAACTTATTTTTTGTGTGATCAAGAGTGCAGAGCAATCGATATTTTTAGTAACTCGGCGTTCACGATTCAAGGAATTTGTGTTCAGCCTACACAGAATAGAGGTACTTTCCCAGAAGCGATACTTTAGTAGTGCGTCATATTTCCTTTGCGAAATCACACGCGGAATAGTGTACTTCTTACTTTAGTTTATTTCTCGTTGCACGCTGTAAGGTAGGTTGTTTCAATTATCATTTCCGTTGTTATATTTAATTACAAAAACTCGCTCGGTTGGCAACCCGCTATCTGTTGATCAGTGTGTCACCAGCTGTAATTTGTCTTTTAGCAGAGTTCATGGCTTTCTCGGACCATATTCAGCTTCAGGCTATTAACCAGACAGCGGAGGCGCTCAGCAGCTGTGAGCGTAGGAGGCTGTTTTACCTGTGTGATGTCCTGGACACGGACAATAGTGTGGCTTGTATGAAGGAGATGCTGAAATCTAAAGTGATGTCCAATGAGAGGGGTTTCCTGTTGGTCCTGGCGCTGATGTGGCAATTGAGACGTTTTGATATCCTGAGGAATGTGTATAAAACCAGCAAGGAGGAGGTGGAGGTGTCTTTGAAACATGTGCAGGTCCTGCCAAAATTCAGGTAAGATGTGTTGTAAGCATAAGAGGTCTTACATATTTTAACAATCCAATGTTTATGCATGCTTCTAAATTAATACTGTATTAAGCTATCTCTGGCTCTTTTGAATATATCACTTTATTTTTTGTATAATTATTTTAAATTGTATTCTATTTTATTTCTATGTTTAACCTTGTGTGAATCCTATTTTTCACTCTGACCCTGTTGCTGCTATAAACACCTGCATTTCCCCACAGGAATCTTATCTTATCTTATCTTTACTTGATGTAACGCATGTACATTTGCCCTCTGTGGGACGAAGGTATTCTGATTCTGATTCTGATAACCCAAGGTGTGCTACCTAAAGTAATCATGGTTTCCTTTACTGCAGAGTATTGATGGCTAATATTAATGAGGACATGGCCGCTGAAGATCTGTCCAATGTGAAATTCTTGTTAAGCAGCACGATACCCCGTGAGAACATGGAAAAAGCAACGGTAAAAAAAATTAAGTGACCTTTTTTTGTTTTCAGTTTCTGAATTACCCATGCGTGTGGGTGTAAGAGGGGAGTTTGGTGTGCTTTCAAGTGACCCAAAAACATCAGCTGCATACCAAAGCAGTTTTAACTTTCTCTTCTCTCTCCCTTCTGAGACAGAGTTTCCTGGACGTGATCATTGAACTTGAGAAGCTGGATATAGTTTCACCAGAAAGAGTTGACTCTGTAGAGAAATGTTTAAGAGACATTGGCAGGGTCGACCTTGCCAAAAAAGTGTCTGCATACAAGATGTCAGGTGACTATCTTACTGTCTGACTTTTCATGAAATGGGAACTGAAAATTATTGGTGTGTGTGTGTGTATATCTGGTACCACTGAAATGGTCCATGATGCCTATATCAATGGAAAAGGAACTATTCTTAAAGTATACTTCAATGAACCACAAAAAAAGGAAGTAAAACAGACGTGTTGCACAGAAACATAACGGAAACGTGAAGCCTATTCAACCTATTCCTTTTTTTTCTCAGCGTAACTGCTGTACTTAGCGAATACAGAATTGTATTTCATCATGTTCCAACAAAAAGCAGTCTTTACCCCAAGATTGTGATATAATGTATAGTATAAAACAAAGTGCATTTAGTTTCTGTTTCATTGAACTCTCATAACTGACATAGCCGAGCTCATTAATTAACACCAGCATTACGACAAGTTCACAGACGTACTTTTAAGATACTTAAGTTTGACACCCAGATCCCTTTTCTTTTAGGCAGATTGAATTTTAAATCATTTTCAGTTCTACACTCTATTAAACAAACCCCATGTCATACGTTTTCATTTAACAGTAGATTCCTATCGAAGGAGAACGTTAAACTTTATGACTGTATTCACTTGTATTTCAATCCATGTTCCCTTTTCGCAGTTGTGACAACTGAGGGAAACTCCTATCAGCAGCCACAGCAAAGGCCCAGAGCACCTGTAAGTAGTGTACAAAAGTTATTCAACATTTACATTTGTATCTTTTATAAAACTAATACTTTGGATTTTTTTTCTCTTCAGTATCGATTCCCTGCTCCAATTAGTTCTGTGCAGCAAACAAGACCACGAGAGTCCCTCCACATTGGTAAGACATGCATGTTATCAATCAGAGCAACTTCCAAATAAATGTTTTTAGCAGAGATACAATAAGTGAAAAATACCCATTTTAAAGCTACAGTATGGAACACACATGTGGGGCTCTAATCACAGTAGAAGAAACTGGAAAGTCCCAGGTCGGTCATCATATTTCACTTTGATATTAAAAATACCATATTACTCTTTGTCATCAGCCTCAGGAAGCATACCAGTGCCCGTATACAGAGAGCAGAACAGCCAGGTAAGATATTTCCTCACTATTGATGCAGTTTTCCCCTATATGTGTTTAATTAGTAAAGTGCATTTGTAAAACATGTTTGCTTGCTCCTTTGCATTCTAGGGTCATCTGGATTTGTACAAATTCAACACAAATCCCAGAGGACTTTGTGTTATCATAGACTGCGTGGGTAATGACGGAGGTGAGAAACAAAAACCTTTATACCTACAGTGCTGGAATAAATATTCAGATCCATTACTTAAAGGGGACCTATCATGCAAAATGCACTTTTGTATGTCTTTTATACATGAATATGTGTCCCCGGTGTTCCAGGGAACTCACCAAGTGTCAGAAAACACAACCCTCTCTATTTTCCTCCATACCCAAATCTCTAAAAAAGGGGCTGCAACGGATCTGATAAAAAACTGATCCAGATTTGAACACTGTCCTGACGTCAGGACAGTGGCGCTACGGCTATTGGGCCAACTTCACCAATCAGGAGGAGACAGCCACGGCCATTGCCGTTCGAAAGCGCTGGAGACGATGTAGTACATATGCCAGGCCTGTAGATGGTGCTGTTCTCACAGAATCAGCCCTTGCAAAAACAGAGCTAGAAATTGTCAAATTGAGCAAAATGAGGCATGGCTAAAATGCATGATCTGTTTGGTATTTTGAAAAGTATAAATATGCCTTATATAGGTATGGTCCTACACTATATTATTCAAATATAGCATGATGGGTCCACTTTAAGTACAGGTGGCACTATTTTTTTTAAACATTTGATTAAGTGAAAGGCCTTAAAATCCTACTTGAGTAAAGCTACCAAAGTAGTGCCACCTAAATGTACCGAAAGTGTCAAAGTAAGGCAAGCCAAGGCAAGTTTATGTATATAGCACCTTTCAAGACAAGGCAATTAAAGTGCTTTACAAAAAATAAATACATTAAGAGCATCCATGCATCAATGTGTAAGCAGCATTAAAATGCTGTAGCTGGTTGAGGTGGAGCTAGTGTTCAGTCCAGTGGTCTCCAACCAAGGGGTAGGCCCCTTCCAAAAGGCCCACATGATAAAGCTAAGGGGTCATGCAATGATTAATGGGAGAGGAAAGAAGATAAACTGTTCTGCTACACACATTTGTTTTTAGTTTTGACTTTTTGTCTGTATTTTTTTTTAATTAAATATTTGATAATTTTACTGTATCTCTGTTTGCTTAGTTATTGGCATAAAAAATACTTAAATGAAGCCATGTGAGAGGTTTGAGTGTCGTCTCATGCAATAGTAAACTGAATATCTTCTGTTAAAATATCATCGATTCTAATGGCATTATTTCATTGATCTTTTCAGTGACTTATTAGGTTAAATTCTGCTTTCACCTTTCCAGACATGTTGGAACAGACATTTAGGGCTCTTCACTTCAAAGTGTCCCTCTACAAATGGCTGAGTGTGGCTGACACGCTTACTGCTCTCAGAGGGATACTCAGACTGGGAGAGAACTTCGAAGGCGATGGCTTTGTGTGCTGCATCATCAGCCGTGGTACTTCGAACAATCTCATGGGTACAGACACATACGGCACAGGTCTACTTCTGGAGAATGTCAGACATCTTTTCACTGCTGATTCGTGTCCCATGCTGGCTGGCAAGCCCAAACTCTTCTTCATCCAGAGGTACAGCGTCCCAGAGTTTGTGCCACTTGCCAGGATGCAGCACCGAGATGAGGATCTGGAGACGGATGGGCATGATCGGCCAGCCAGATGTGAAATCATCCCGACAGGTGCAGATGTGTTCTGGAGTCACTGCTGGACGGACGAGTCTGAACTGGAGCAAGGACAACATCGCTCCATTTACCTGAAGGCTCTGACAGACGCCTTACACAAAGCTCAAAGCAGGTAAAACACTTAACATTAAATTCAGCTGCTGCTCAGATAGGTTTCATATAATAGACTCAACATGTGTTTTTGTTTTGATAGGAAAACACATCTGGTTGATGTTCATACCGAGGTGAATGGCGCCATCTTTGAACATAACTCAAGGAATCCTGGAGCAAACTACCACATCGATCTAAATTATACTTTAAGGAAAGATCTTTACTTACAATAGATGATGCATCATGCTCACTTTCACTAAACACTAAACACTGTCTGCCACAAGTAGATATAGCATATTCCTTGCCAGGGAAGAACCTTATTTGTATTACTTTTGACTGTGTATAGAGTGACACCTACTGGTTGTAGGAAGTAGTTTGTTTTTCTATTTAATTTATTTTTAAATAGTTTTTAGATTTATATATTTTATTCATAAAAGACATGCTAATGTACGTACTCACAAGACATATTTATATGTTTTATTAGTGTATATGTAATCATATTTAACTTATTTAGTTTTCTTGAAGCAGCTAAAACCAAATTGTAATTTCTTATCATATTATATTATCGTTACTTTTTTAAGCCTCCGGAGTAATGTGAAAATACAGTCTATAGTTAAATGAAGTTAACGCTATCTATCTATTTTTGCTTCATGCATTCCTTTTCTAGGTTAACTCTATGGGCTACTCACAACATTTCCTATTCTAGTGTACTTTTAATGAAGAGAGTACATAAACAAAAAAATATAGATTGAAACTATTTGTACCTTTAATAGTGTATCTCAGTTAAATGCATTACCTTCAATTTGTTTTTACATGTAAGATTTAGCTTATTTGTCACCAAAGCATCTACATAAGGTCTGGATTTATTTTATACCAATGTTTAAGTTTGCAACAATATTATTAAAAAATATAATACAAAAAAACGTTGTCTTGATAAATCTTTATTACTTCTTGACTTATAGGTGTCAACCCTTACCCAGACCCCAAACAAAACTTTTAAATTGAAATCTTTCCCTTTCCAACATGTAACGACCTACAGTAATCACAACATTAATATTAAATGTATTTGGTAGTTTGTTTAATTCAAAAGTGACATTACAGATGATTTTAATAACTGATTTTATGTCAAAGACTTTGATATCGCCACTTTAAAATATATTTGATGTAAATAATCAGTAAATGTCTCTTTTTGAACACTTAAGCTGACATTGATTTTTCAGTTAATGCACTTGACTTGCACTAATATCACTAAGGACTTCCACCTTTTAAAATCCTTATAGGGTTCTTGCTGAGAATGATATACTGTTCAGAAAAGTTTGCCTATTTCTATTTTTAAATACATGATCTATGTATAGAGATAGAAACATGGACTTTTGAGTAGGCCTACTATGTTGTGTACCATGTGGCTAAACTGCTTTTATAAATGTATTTTTATTATCACAAATACTGACATAAAGTACCATTATTTGTCTATTACAAAAAGCAATGTTTAAAAAATCTAGTTCCATTGTTGTTACAACCTGCTACTGAGGATAGTCGTCTCAAAATGAAACCTATTGTGTATGTGAAGTAAAGTGCTTAACAATGATATGATTAAGCAATTGTATTGATAGTTTGTCTGCATGTATATACAGTAGCCTATAAACATAGCATATGTCATAAAACAATATAATGTATTCAACCTTAACATTCTTGTGTGAATGATCAAATGCAAAAAACACCTGAAATGTTCAATAGAACATTATTCGGTGCCACGCAGCACTGTGCTTGTGTCAGCAGGAGGCAGGCACGTTGTTTGAAGAACATCAGGAAACAAACAGAGGAGCAGGGCTCGTGAACGCGCACGGTCGGGGCTGCTGTTAATGGCGACTGCGCCGTGGGAAGCAAGCGAGGAGTTGAATGAGTTCCCTCCACAGTTGACGTGAAGCAGCCGCGGACAGTCAGACAGGACACCGCCGGTGCCGAGGGACAGACAGCAGGCACAGAGACACTGGCAGGACCCCGTGGTAGCACACTACATGGAAACACACAGCCAGGTGTGTCTGCTAGCCTCACCGCTAGCCGTGTCATGACGGCTGGAGAGATTTCTCACACATCTGTACGACGTTGCAGTGAGACGAGCACCAACACCCTGTTTACCCTCCTTCGCTGAAACCAAGTGAGGAGGGGTTGTTGGTTTTATTTTATTTTTTATTTCTGGTTGTCCTACTCACCGGCGACTGTGGACATATCTGTGTTTCTTACCATGGCTGAGAGAACCTCCTCCGGGTTGCTAACGATGATGTTGGAGCCCACGCCGGCTGTCGCTATGACCCTACCCGCGGAGGTCCGGGAGAAGCTGGCGGAGCTGGAGCTGGAGCTCTCTGAAGGTAAGTTGACAACATTGACACAAACTACCGCACCGTGAGACCGAAACATGTTGTTTTTCACCTTGAAAGGGGGGCTTTAAACATTCTCCATGCACATGACAGCGCTCATAACCACCGCCCTTTATCTTGGCTTTGTGGCTCATGTTTGAATGCATGCCAGCATCACAGAAGCCCCTCAGCTACTCCCACTCTCCCTCAGGCTGAAACTGAACTTCTGCTGTAGTTTTCTCCTCATGACTATTAACCAATGCAGCACATGGGGTTGCTAAATTAAACTAAACTGGTGCTAGGTTCATCTGTTTAGTTTCACCTCTTGTGACATTTTAGATATCCAAATACCATGCTGGAGCAGATGGCTATCTGCCTCAATGTTAACAGCTGAGCTGACACACCCATGCAGCTGCTATGTGATATTATGTTCTTGACATAAGCATAATCTAGGATTTGCCCTGAACATGTTTTATGGAAAAGGAAAGTTAAGAACTAATAACATGCACATTATCTGACCAGAGATCAGCTTTATAAAAGTGTCTTTCTCTGAAACAGTTCAAACTGACCTTCCATTTCTTATACCATAGGCTTCAGGTTTTAATTTGAACCATTATTAGGAACCTTACGTTTTTTCCATGAATGTAGCCTATACTTGTTTGTGTATCCATGTATAGTGCTCATGTGTCCAGGTTCATTCTTGCTTGTGCCTGTTGTTACCTTCCACGTGTGATTTCATAAACACAAGTACCAAGAAAAAGACAAGCTTTTGAACATTGAGATCTCTAGATCTTGCATCTATTACAATTTATTTAGGTCCTACCAAACATTAGCCCTTGAGTTTGGTTGTGAAACTGTCTAAAACCTTTTGGGTTTTAAATTCAACCATAAGTGTTTCATCTGATTCCATGTGTTTTCCTTTTTTTGTTAGTCAGTTTCTCTCTATAAAATCCAAAGCCAACCAAAAGGATGCATCTATTCTTAACAAACTGTACAGTACTGAATATGGTTATACTTTCTATACTTAGTATATAAAACAGACCTGTTCTTAAATAAATATCATGTGTACCTGTTTAAAGATAAACAGAAAGATCATAGCGTGTGCCTGTACAAAGTCCTGAAAGAAATGTCACCTGATATGATTTATTACGCTACCTAATCTATTTCCTTGATATTTGTCCTAAAGAACAAATGTCACCGTCACTAATGAAACAAATGATTTCCCATATTTGTACCACCTGTCAAGTAAAATCTGAAGAATTTGACTGAAACTCTTTTGTTGGGTCATATTTGGTGCTAGAAGGACCATAAGTCAAATTGTAGTGACTCAGCACTACACAGAGTAGATGAAGCTAGGCTCGTCCTCCCGCTGTCTTGAAATCTTTTAGAGTTTCAGTACCCTGTACAGGAGTGTTTTCATAAAGCTCCCCTATTCTTTTCAGTTTAGTAAGTAATAATAATAATAATACATGTAATTTATATAGTGCTTTTCCTGGTGTTCAAAGCGCCTGTGAGACCCATTGTTTAACGGCAGCCTTTTTTTAGCCGTTATAACATAGTCGAATTAGCTAAGCTGTAGTAAGTCATACTTATTATTAATGACCTACATTGAATCTAATTAGATTTGAGATTTGACCCTGGGGCGTGACCCATAACTCTGGAGAAAATGTTCACTCCACAAGCTAATAAGTGTAGTCTTAGAACTTGAAATAATAGAAAACACATTGATACATTCTGCATTGAGCATGTCTTTCTCTGTGTGAGCTGTGTGCAGAGGCACCACAGGGGTTAGGAATAGGCACACTTTGATAAGCACATTAACTCCCACCGAAGCCCCTAATGGGAGAGACATGTTTTCAGGAGCGGTTACCAAATGAATCTATATCTGTCCAGTTTCCTCTTCCTGCTCTCTACATGTCACATCCTGCCGTGTTGGAGCTCTGATAGCAGTATCTCCCTGACTCTGTTGCCTTCTGTTTCTCTTTCAGGCTTTTCTTTCACTGACACACTCTGTTTTCTCTCCTTTTCACTGCCTTCCATGACTCCTCACCTCCATATTTCCTCTGATCAAAGAGTAAATGTCTTTCTCTTTTTTCACTCTCAAATCTTTTTTCTTTACACCGCCGTGAACTATTCACCTTGCCCTTCGGTTGCATCCCTGTTACATCCTGTCTCGGGAAAGAATAGACGGCTTGTTTTATTGGAAGGAGATGAGAGCCTGAGAAACCTGCAGGTTTTCTATCCTTCTCAATGAGCAAGGCTCATAGCGATTTAGAGTCAAGCGTGGTGTGTCACACTAAGAGACGCATCCCGGCTTGCCTGTGCCAGTGTGTGTGTGTGTGCACTGTTTTATTCATGAAGTTGAATAGATGTGCCATGTATGTTTTCTTAAGCTAGCAGCAGCAGCCTTTGGAATAACATGACACAATCCAGCAGCTCAGCTAGATGATATTCCACTGTCAGCAGTTTAGGCCTGCTGATGTGGGAAATAAACAATACGCTCACTCTTATTTGGGTCATAATAGATGGTGTTTTCTTTAAGATCCTTTAATTTTCCGTTTATCTTGCTCTGTTTTTATTTCTCAGTGAACACGTGTCCTAAATGTTTACATTATTTCACTCGGGTGTGTTGATGTAGTCCTCGGGTGTGTTGATGTAGTTAAGATTTCTTTTTTTGTCAATTTGGGTGAGCATTTCTAGTTTTGGTTTACAACGTCACTAAATGCTGCTCTTTTAATTCAATGTAGTTCTAGGTAAGTACTTAACTCCGTAGAATTGGGGTCTCCCTCTTTTAGCCTTTCTTTGTAATCTGGATACCTTCGCTGAGTTAAACCTTGAATAACTAAGTGTGAAAAAAGGGGTAAACAGACTTAAAGTAATGCATTTCTCCATAACAACACCCTTTTGCATAACTTGTTAAAACTAGAGAATGCAATTCCTGAAGAAATTGCTAGTGGGAATGCTTTATGCTGAAAAGCTGACGCTAAACTGCTATGCCGAAATGTAATGTGAAAGAAGAAAGTGAATAATTTAGATTTAAATGATACATGAACACTGGGGGCTTGAATGTGTGATGAGAGAAGAAAAGAAAGTAAAAGGCTTGGAAAAGCAGCAGAATATTTGAACTGCAAACTTTTGAACTAACTTGATGGCGAATGATCTGTTGCCATGCCAACGGCATTTGATGACATCCCATAATACGCTTAGATGTGTTGATGGCTGCATCGTTACCAAACCTGTGAAGTTTTGGGCCGTTTGGAGCATTTTCACTGAAGTTATGAGAACCGTGTTTCATGGCGAGCCTTGTGTTACCATGGCAACTGCATTTGAAGAAATCTCAAAACTGTCCCGTAGATGTGTTCACGGCTGGACTGTTAGCACACATGTGAAGTTTGAGCACTTTTTGAACATTTTCATAGGAGTTATAGCGACATCGTCTTTTATGGCGAGGGATGCGTTTCCATGGAAACGGCATATGGTGAGATCTCAGATTTGGCGTAGAGCTGTTGAGGCATGGACCGGTGATATACAAGTGAAGATTGGGGGACGATTGGACCGTGTCGATTGGACTTACAGCGACATCGTGTTTCATGGCGAGTTGTCTGTCGCCATGGCAACGGCATTTGATGACAACCCATAATACGCTTAGATGCGTTGATGGCTGCATCGTTACCAAACCTGTGAAGTTTTGGGCTGTTTGGAGTATTTTCACTGAAGTTATGATAAAACCGTGTTTCAAGGCGAGCATTGTGTTGCCATGGCAACGGCATTTGAAGAAATCTCAAAACTGTCCCGTAGATGTCTTCACGGCTGGACTGTTAGCACACATGTGAAGTTTGAGCACTTTTTGAACATTTTCATAGGAGTTATACATTACATTAGGAGGTTACATTACTCTCTCTCTTCTCTTGATCGCCCTCTCTCTTCTCTTGATCGCCCTCTTGATCTTCGGCATATGATGATGACACCCCATAATTGACGTAGAGCTGTTGAGGGCAGGACCATTAACCTTTATCTGAAGTCTGCTGCTCTGAGCATGTCAGTTGGAGTGATGACATCATCGTGTTCCATTCGGTTCCATTACACAGGTGTTTATAGTTGAGCTAACGAGCTCTGCAGAGATCATAGGTTTCCATTGTTCTGAATGAGAGATAAACCTCTTACATGTGAACGTTTTGTGGAAGAACCGTAACAGATATCTGTGAAATTTCAAAACGTGAAGCATGTCAAGGAAGTTGAGTATCTGAAGTGTAATTTTTGTGTACTTTCGGGTTAATAATGTGGCCTTTTTGGCAGTTTAACTAAAGGTGTGCGGGTGCTGCTGTGAGGAAATATCAGCCTGAAATTACAATGGGCTTTAATGGAGACATGTTGAAAGTTGTTGTCACTTCATGCCCTCAAGAGGCATTTTGTTTAATTATTTTGCTTAATTATTTGTCATTTTTCAAGCTACGAGATGTTTTCCTACGTTTGTCATGAAAAATGATGTCTCAGGAATGTAGGGTTTGGGAATTATGGCAGTTTTTAAAAAAAATATGAAGGCAAATTTCAAGATTTCCTACACTCTAACTGTGACATCACGCACTCTGCCTTAACGAGCTGCACAATGTTAAAGTTAAAATGTAAAAAATGTGATATATTATGGGATGTATCTCTGGAATTATGAAAGTTATGAATGATAAAAGTAATGGCCTGCGATTCCCGACCGAGCTGAACGTTTTGATGTTTGAACGGAGTTTCTGCGATGTTGAATGTGGGAGGAGAAGAGGGCCAAAATAAGTCGGTGGAATAATAAACTTTTTGTCCGTAGCATAACATATAGTTGGAATGCTGTATCAGCATTCCCACTAAATAATGGTTTGCCATTATTGGAAATATGTTTGCTTGCTTTCTTCTTTTAACAGTTTGTTTTTTGTGAGGATTAAACAAACACAATATAACATATTAATTAGTGATATTAAGGACTGGAACATGTTGAGGTATTTGTTTGGAGCTAGGCTAGCTGTTTCTAT